CTGGGGAAGCATATGTAAGAGAAAAAAGAAAAAAGAAAAAGAGTAAGAGAGAGAGAGAGAGAGACAGAGAAAGCATTAGTTAGATGCAAAACTAGGATTGAAGGATAATTTTTTTCTCTGCAACCAGGAGAAATCTGAATGTACACCTCAGCTGGGAGAGAGAAACATGGAGAACATTGGTGAGAACCAAGAATGTGTTAAAAATAAGACCACAGGTGCAAAATGGAGTCACTGATGCTAAGTCCCACATCACCAAATCAAGACTTAATTACGGTTTCAGGTCTCCCAGAAATGGAATCTTAAACATCAGTAAGGAATCTCCTGATCAATGCTAGTGAGGTAGTCTGCCTGATAGACCCCAGCCATCCCCTAAAAGAAAGTAACTTTGCAATAACTAACCCACTTTTTGCCTAGTATAACTTCCTTGTTCCTGCTCCCTTCTGCCTATAAAAGTGTTTAGTTTTGGGCAGATGTACAGCTCCTTGGAGCTCCTTTCTATCTGCTAGATAGGATGCTGCCCAATTCATGAATTTCTGAATAAAACCAATAAGATCTGTTAAAGTTGTTAGATTTTTTTAACATATGCTAGAGTGGCAGTAGATATACATAATTTTGGAGGTAGGAATTGGAAGGACACTTGTGATGATTAATTTTATGCATCAACTTGTCTGGGCCGTGGGTGGCAGACATTTGGTCAGACATTATTCTGAATATGTCTCTGAGAGTGTTTCTGGATGAGATTAATATTTGGACTGGTAGGCTGAGTAAAGTAAACTGCCCTCCCCAGTGTTGGTGGGCTCATCTAATCAACTGAAGCCCTGAATAGTACAAAAAGCCTGACCCTCCCTTGAGTGAGAAGGAATTCTTCCTGCCTGACTGCCTTGACCTGGGACATCAGTCCTTTCCTGCCTTCCATCTTGATGTGAAACATCGGCTCTTAGGTCTTGGTCTGCCAGTTTTGGGACTGGATTTACACCATTGGCTCTCCTGGGTCTCAGATTGCTGACTGCAGATCGTGGGACTTCTCAATCTCTATAATCACATGAGCCAATTCCTTATAATAAATGTCTCTTTATATATACATACATCCTATTATTTCTGTTTCTCTAGAGAACCCCTGACCCATACAACATTGAAGTAATTCATGCCCATTCACACTTTATTTCTTATAAAGCAGTCAAGGTCATCTGCTGAACATGAGGTAGGTGAGGAAGGGAAAGTAGGTTTGAGAAAAAAGGGAGATATTTTGCAGAAGTATAGAAATGAGAATGGTACCGGACAGGGCTTGTTACTTTGTACAAAAGGTATTTCTCTCAAAGCAAATTAATGTTTAATTAATCAATTATTTGTGATTTTACTGGCTCCATATATCTCCCCTGCAAGATTATAAACTCAAGAGGTAAGGATTGTCTTTCAAAGATGGAGAATGGTTTACTGTTGGAGCCATTTGCTTGGGTTCTTACCCCAGATTTGCTGTTTTCTAGCTGCATGATCTTGGGTAAGATACTCAAACTTTCTGCTCCTTGGGTTCCTCATCTGTATTTACTTCATAGGTTTGTGGTAGAAACTAAAGACATCTCAAAGGCACTTTCAATGGTGACTGGCAATAATAAAAATCATGGTCATCTTGGCGTCAATCTACCTGAGCACTTAGCACAATGCCTGGAATATAGTAGATCATGAATGCATGAATTGGTGGATGGATGAAGACTATTCTTCTGTGGCTTAACCTCTATGGTTAATGGTTCTTCCCATCTTATTCTACATTCTTCTCTGCAGGTTGAGGAAAGATCCTCAGAACTATATTCCTTGGAATCCCTTTCCAGCGGGGTTATGTGCTAGATTCTGCCAATAATAAGTGGTTGCTCAAGGTTTGAAAGGGAAAGAAAAGGAAAACAATTATTTGTTCAGAGGCAGCTGGGCAGTGTGTAGGACTTTGGCAGAAGACAGGTGAAGGGTTTTGTGCAGCCATGTCTGGGCATTCTCCTAAAAGCATAGACTTCATTGCTACATGAAGCCAAACCCATCAATGGCAGTTTGGAGCTCTGACTTCTGCACTGTGGGTTTCTTCAAGGCAGCAGCACCTTCCCTGCCTTCATTTTTTTTCTCTTCCAACATTTGGATAAGTTTCTAATTGCCTTCCTTAAAGCCTTACCTGCTTAGAATATCTCATGGCCTTTGCTTTTTGGACTAAACCCAATTGTTACGGGCTGAATTGTGTCCTCTCCAAATTCCTAGGTTGAAACAATCATGTCTCAGACCTCAGATTGTGACTGCATTTGGAAATAGACCTTTAGAGAGGTGATTAAGTTGAAAGGAGGCCATTTGGGTGGGCTTAGTCCAGTCTGACTGGTGTTCTGAGAAGAGGAGGACATTTGGATACACAAGGAGACACCAGGGATGCACTCACAACGAAGAAAGACCACTTGAGGACATAGCGAGAAGGTGGCCATCTGCAGGCCAAAGAGAAAGACCTCGGTAGAAACCAATCTGCTGAGACCTTGAGCTCAGGTTTCTAGCCTCCAGCACCATGAGAAAATAAATACTGTTCTGGGGTGTTTTGCCATGGCAGCCCTAGGAAACTAATACACCTGTCTGAACAGTAACTGGATTGTTCAAACAATGAGTCTAAGTTGTCCCTCTGATTCTTTGGGGTGAGACAGCATGGTTGGAGAGGTGTTGAAGGTAGTGCCTATTTGTGAGTCACTTGAAAAATTCACAGAAGGTCCAGCTCATCTAGAAGGTGCTGTTATACTAATGCCATGAAAATTCTATCTCTTGGCCTGGATCAGAACTGAGTTCTGATCGACACCCAGGAAAAATTGGCCCGGTGCAGATGTCATGCAACATAGTCATTCAGTTGTTTCTGTACACCCACAAGGACCGCTGTTGCGTTCCTCCCCACCTCCAGGCCAGCCCAGGGCCCCAGCTGCACAGATCTTTGCAGCAGCTACGCTGGACCAGTTACTGGTAGGGAACATTCAGTAGGGGAGTTTGGGTGGCTTTACCTAATTCAGCTTTGAGGGTAAAGAAAAAATGAAAACCCAAAACAGAGTATGTGGAGGGCGTTGGAAGAAGGACTGGAAGCCAGAACTGAGTTATGAAGGCCTGCTGAGAAAAAGAGATCCTGAAGAACACTTCCTCAGAGTAGGAAGTGAACTAAGGGGGCTTGACTGACAAAAACTGTCCTGGGAGTGCCTAAGAGGAAGTGGTTAACTCTACTCTCTAATCTAGAGGGGGGACAGCCTTCAACTCCGCCCCCCCTGAGGCTCACCCTTCCCAAAGAGGGGGGAGGTCACAAATATAGGTCCATATCTCATGGGCTCCGAGGACACATAGGCCCCTATGGCACTTCCAGATTAAGGGGATGACACAGGGCACAGGACTTGCCCTTCCCTGCATCTGGTATGGCAAGAGGGTTCTAAGGTGTTGTCCTCTTTTATTTTACTGAGGATTCCAGAGGGTACACTCGCACAAAGTCGCCTAAGTACTGCCATAGCTGGATTGATTCCAATCCACTCTTACTCTAAGATCACCTATTTTGCCATTTTGTCACATTGCCTCACCGAAACACCTCAGGGGCCTACCAACTGAACATTCCCCGTGATGAAGGGATCTGCAGGAGGATTACAAATACCACTCTCAAATGCCCCTGCCCACCAAATATAGCAGCTCTACCCACAGGATATTCACATGTATCATCTATTCCACTCTGTGGAGCTTTTTTAAAATAAAGGAGTACTTTCGTTTTTCCCAGGGAGACTGAGTCTAACCAAAAAAGAGTAATTTGTGTGTAGGAGTTAGGAATAAAGGTTTTTCTTAAGATGCTTCAAAGATTTTCTCAAATGTTCCATTACTATAGAGAAACGAAGGTTGTATTACATATTTACGTGGGTAGTTCACTCTAAGATTGTAATTCTAGCTTTAATTAGATCAGAAACAGAAATCAGACCTTAACTGAAGGAAAAGAGTATAATTTTTAAGCAGAGAGTGGCAACTGAAGACAAAGACATTTAAACAATTATTTTCTCATAGTATAATGAAAGCAAGCTGACCATCTTTTTTCCATTATTCAAGAAAACCTTGTAGTGATTTTGGTTCTCATTAAATATCTGGTTAGATTCTCTTTATCTGTTTTATTCATGGGCTGGTCTCCTTGCCCACACCCAGACCCTCCATGCTGACATAAATTAAATCATACCACTAGCAACCAAAGTTCAAATTCAATTCAAGCCGGTTTCAGTGTGCGTAGATGTAATTTTCACCTCTTTATACCTAATTCAAGTCATTTGTGAGATGCGCATGATCTTCCCTCAGTCTGGAGGGTTTGCCCCACCATACATTTTAAATATGTAAAACCTACTCGATTTCCTAACCATGTCTTTTTGTACTGTTTTTACAGTAAAAAATATTATAGCAGCACTAAAGGGATTTTTCAAAAAACAAAAACCAAAAACTCTCCAAATACAACTGATTTCAGTTTTGTGTATTTCTGCCCTTTTGTTATTTATATTGATGTATCCATTTAATGTTTAATTCTCAGGCTGTGAGATAAATAACACCGCCACCCACCCCCAGCGAAATGCTGTTCCCAAAGGAAGGTGTTTCCAGAGCACCACTGCCTTATAAATGAGAACTGAAATGGGAGAATTCTGCCCGGTGGGCCTCGCTGCCTTACCAATCCCTGGTTACCCTCTCATTTCCTCCCAGCCCAAAAGTTGCTATTTTTTATTTGCTAACAATCCCAAAACTAAATATAAATCTTTGTCTTTCTCCTTTTGCATAACAAAAACAAAAGTTTTTTGAGGGCAAGGACAAACTCTGTTCATCTCAGTGCTTAAAACAGTGTTGGGGCATATAGCATATTTGTCACTAAATAAAAACTACAAGGAAAAGAGCGATTTGTGTCCTTTTTGGCTTCAAATCTATGTCATCTCTTTAATAATCTTATCTCCTGAAATCACAGATTAAGTGATAAAGAATAAATCACTGTTGCCACATTTAACACTTGTACATTTTATTTAATTAAATCAGCCATTGTACACATTGCAGCTATGTATTGTTAGTGTTGTATTTTTTTTTCCATTAACTAATACATGCCCTCATAGATATATTCAATTAGTGTTATCACCATGGGAACAAGATGCTGATTCATCAACTGAAAATTCACTTCTTCTCACAGTATTCAAGTTTTTTGATACACAGCAAAAATCAAAAATCAAAAAAAGGTGAATAACCATTATGTTGTTACACAGACATCATCTGCACTGCAAGTAACACAACAGAAATGCTTTTCTTGAGCTCCAGTGAAGGTTTTGACAAGAAGGCCATGGTGTGTCTCAAAAAGTTTCACCATGAGCCTCTCTCATTTTGGCTGCCAAAGAAAGCTTTATTTCCTACCCAACTGCCAGAAAGTGCTAGCATTTGAGGCTTTAAGAGATTTGGCTTGTGGGAAACCTCCCTCCCAGGAAATTTTCTCCCTTGGCAACATTGCTTGAAATGATGAAGTGCCATTGTTTGTCACATTTGTTTTTGACATTCGGAGCAATGAGTCATTTTTGCACAACAGGAAAAGACCAGATAGAATTGGAAAATGTTCAATCCCTGGAGGATAGACTTTTTTTTTTTTTTTAATTTCATCTTCATTGAATATACTTTTCTTTAACAAATAACTGATTCGAAATGTATATTGTTTATATGAATATATTTGTGAATATATATATATGTTAAAATGCTACACAGCTTCAACCACTAGAGGAATAAGGAATAGGACATGGAAATCACTCAGATGATTAAAGTTCCTTCTCGGAAACAAACAAAAAAGTGCACAAATGCACTTAAGAGTTTCCAAGGGAGTTTGGATTTCAAATAAATAAATCAAAAATTTTAACCAAAACCAAATTTGTAAGGATTTCTCAACCTTGTCTGCAAGCTAAAAAACAGACCTAGCGGGAAGTGAAAAGTGCTTGCTCAGGGTCAAAAGAATGAAAACCATCAGTGTGATTAGAAGAGGAGTTTTGACTGTGGTTTTGATTTTTAAACGCTACATGCAGGTATTAGAGAAGATATAAACCCGGGGCGGGGGGAACCACTCCAACATGGTGAAGGAGTTTAACCTTTTGCGTAGTGGGTAAATCTTGTTTCCAATGAATTATCTACAGTGCAGTGGCCAGAAGAAAGTACCACCAATAAGACAGCGTGGTTTGCTAAAGCAGCAATGAAAACTGGGAAACTACAGTAGTTATAGCTTTTAAAATACCCTGCCAATGCGTCCAAAATCTAAAAGACCTGAAGATGCTAGAAAGCCACAGGATGTGGCTGCTAGCAGCTGAATACCTCATTGTTTCGTTCCTTTTGCCTTCTGCTCCCCCTTCTCCCCTCCCTCGTGTGGCTGTTGGAGAATCATACATCAAGGCTGGCCAGCACCAGCATTAAGTGCCTAGTTAGGTTATTAACCCATCTCTAACTAGGAGCAACGGCTACTCTGGAAGGTCTAAGGACATGGTAGGTCTGAAGTGCTTCTTTTGCGGTAGAACTGTATTATCATTCGATTGTGTTAGCAATATCTTAATTAACCATTGTTCAGCAATTTCTAGAGGCCTTTTATTCCATGATGCCCAGTGTAGTTATGATAGGCAGTGGTTCTAATTTTCATATGTTGTTCATCTGAGCATTTGAGCTATATACATGGTACAAGGATATCCCTCAGGAGGACTCCTAGGTATCATCCCTTGAAGAGGTCTGTAGGTGAAGTTCTTCTGATAGATGGATTTTCGTGGAGCTTGTTCGGGAGCAAAGAACGATAGAGGTGGCCAGTTCTCAGTTTAGCACAGACACAACAAAGTAGTGGGTACAGCATCCAGACTGAAGGATGCTATCTTTGGTCACAAATTAGCTTACAGTTAAAGAGGACGGGGGGAGAAACTAAAACAGAATGCGGTGTGTATTTGCTAAAAGTGGAAGTGTCAGGGTATCCCATTAGGCCGGGTAGGTCACTCTGCTAAAGAAACGGGAAGTTGCATATTGAGTGAATGTGTGGTTTCTGGTGTGAGGACTGGGCAGCCCCTCATTTGGCCTCTTGCTTCGAGTCCTCCTTGCAGAAATGCCGAAGGAGTTGCTGGAGGTCGCGCTGGAGGTCATCTTGGTCTAGTGCTTCCGGTACATCCTCCAGGTGCTCCAAGTAAATGCGTTTTCCATGCTGGTCCTTCACCACAGCCCTCTTCTGTGTACTGGCTTTACTCATTGTTGTCCTGGAGGAAAGCAGACAAGAGAGATTGATGCTCTTTACTAAACCGCAGCCACCATCTTTGGAATGGGGGTAAGTAACCATGACAGGAAAGTAGTTTACTGTCCTACCTCTGGGTACTTCTACACTAGCCATCTTCCCACATCTTTCTTTTAAAACGTGGCCATTCCTATCTGACATGAGTCATGAAATGTTTTAAAGTGTTTCAGAACAAAGAATATCTTTTTAAAACTTTAAGAACTATTTCAGATAAATAAAACCATACTTTAATATGATTCTCTCCAAAAGTAACCACATAGTCATTCATGTTTTGTTTAAGGTGCACTGATTTGAAAGAGCTTGGATCGGGGCTCCTGCGTGGCACAGTTGGTTGGGCATCCAACTCTTCATTTTGGCTCAGGTTGTGATCTTGGAGTCATGGGATCAAGCCCCGATTGGGCTCCACACTCAGCAGATCTGTTTGAGAATCTCTCTCCCTCCTTCTGCCCCTTCTGCTCGTTCTCTCTCTCTCTTTCTAAAATAAACAAATAAATCTTGAAAGGAAGGA